TAGAGAATGCCGACACTACCCCACCACTTTCTGTGCGTCCACGGAGACGCTTGGGTTTTTCCACAGGTCCGTGGCCTTGGGTTTTTCCCAAGGGTTCGTGGCTTTGGTTTTCCCAAGGCGTGCTTTGGTTTTCCCAAGGTTCGTGGCCTTGGGTTTTTTTTCCCAAGGTCGTGGCTTTGGTTTTCCCAAGGTCGTGACCTTGTTTTTCCCAAGGTCGTGTGGTTTTGGGTTTTTCCAATGTCGTGGCCTTTTTGGGGTTTTCCCCAAGGTCGTAGTCTTGGGGTTTTTCCGCAATGATCATGTTTTTGAGGTTTTTTCCAAAGATCGTGACTTTGGTAGCAGGATTCATGGTCTTGGATCCTGGGGGCAGGGTTGTGTTATGGATTTTTTTCTGGATCAAAGGGTCGTGGTCTTGATGCTTGAGTTGCCGATTGTGGAATTTGGATTCTGGGATTTGAGTTGGACTAAAATTGTGCTCTGGGATTTCCTAGCGAATTTAAAAGAGAGAAGTGTGAGAAAATAAGAGATGTTGTTTAACAAACCTTAATCCTAAGTTACATACTCTTAGAAAATGGTAAATCCATACATTTCAATTTTACAAAGAAGCAAGAAGAGAAAAAGCAAGCGAGAAGCAAAGCAAACAGAAAATATTTGTGTACTTACTTTTTTCTTAGTTTTTTTGTTTGAAAAATCCTTGTTTTTCCAAGTTTATCCATCACAATCACACACCCTAACACATAAGAAGAGAGAGATGCACAGATTAGCACTGTATAATTACGTAAAACTACAAGTAGATTATGCGAGGCTAATAAAACTTGTAACAATACGTTAAGGCTTTGATGTTAACGAGTCGGCTAGTCCAAATACTAACTGAAATTAGAGCGTACCTTTCTCTATTTGGGTATTTCCCGAGGCCATTGCAATCGGGTTTCCTCAAGTCTGGCCTTGGACTATGAACTTGGTCGTAGCATTGGGTTTTTTCCCAAGGTCATGGTCTTGGACTTTGAACCTCCCCCAAGGTCAATGGTCTTGGACTTTGACCTCGAGTTTTTCCAAGGTCGTGGTTATTTTATTCAGTTTGTTTGCATACTTGACGAATTTACAATGGAGAATAAAGATTTATCAACCCGCCTTTAGTGCAACGTAAGTGGACGCAAGGATCTGGAAAGAGTTTATTTTGTTGTAAATTTCTTAAAAAATGTAGGAAACATCTGCAACGTAGTGTTTTGAAAGAATAGTATGGCATTAACGCTGAATGGCAGGATGTACGACCGATTTTAAAGGGTATTGGAGTTTCATCAGGGACTACCTGACAATGTCTAATTTCGATGGTTTAAAAACCAACACTGGTGATCATCAGATGATCTAATGCGTTGAATCAAATGTGGGTCCATGGTAGAACAATTTTTTACAAAGGTTGTCATCAACGAAATCTCTAGTGTATTTTTCTTAACCCAAACATATCCATCAAGAAAAGGCCAGAGAGATATTTCTTAAACGCTCATTACATAATTCTTTTAAAATCCTCGTGATCGGCACAAATTAAGCATTTAAACTCGACAGAAATTTTTACCTGAAAATTCAAAGTTTTAGTTATAAGCATTATAAGAAGCACATCTAAACCACATGGGTATTTATTATTCGGATTTAAAACAGTAGTAAAACCGAAATGTATTCGCGATACAGACGTCGATTTTCGAAGAAGACGGCGCGTGTGTAGTTAATACCGCAAAAAAGGGTATTAAAGGTTTAAACTTGATAAAATTAAG